CATTTTAGCAGGTTCTTTTCCAGGAAGAAGCTGGAGGAAGGCTCGTCCTCTTCCGTGCAAAAATGGAGGAAGGCTCGTCCTCTTCCGTGGCAAGAAGGCTTGTCCTCTTGTTTCTGATATGAAGAGAAAAAGGCCCAATTTTGACACCTTTGTTCCTCCGACTGTGACTTTGAGCGTGGCGGCACGAACATCTGGGGGAGACAGAAACCAGCTCCGTAAAGGGATCATCAGGCCTTTGCTGGAGGATTCCGTGTACGGGCACATTCTCCAAAAGTGCCCTATCCAATTCACCAACGGCGAGGCATATGAATGGGAATACATAAACCCGTTTGCTCTCATTCACCAATATACTTCAGCCCGACCACGTTTTGGCGATATGCTGCGGGGGGCTGGGTCCGTACGGATCGCTTTTTACATGGATGAAACTACACCAGGCAATGTGCTTCGCCCAGATCATGGTCGATCACTGGCGTGCTTCTACTGGACATTGATGGAACTACCGTCCTGGTTTCGGAGCCGCCACTGTGGCTGGTTTTATTTCGGGCTTTTTCCTCTGTCGCTGGTGGAGCACGTAGCAGGTGGCTATTCTTTCCTGTTTGCCTTCATGGTGAAAACATTCTTTGGCAAAGGATTGCTAGCATGGGATTTCGACAGGACAGGCATTTGCTGCAAATCAAGTGGTGGAGACTTCATTTTGAAAGCGCGTTTCGGGGCCCTACTTTCAGACGAGAAAGCAATGAAAGAGCTCTGGTGCACGAAAGGTGCTAGTTCCTACAAGCCTTGCCACCTGTGCAAGAATGTGATGGGCCGGGTGGACCTGCCAGACCGCGGCTACTTGGTGCACTACACTTGCACAGATTCAAGCCGCTTTGATTTGCATACTGCTGACAGTTTCCGGACTATGGCACAGAATCTGAAGCTTGAAGCTGGCAACCTGAGCAAAAAAGACTTCGAGCGATTGGAGCAATCTTACGGGCTTGTTTTCGACCCTCTTGGCATCTTGTGGTGTGAAGATTTGGGAGGCATTGTCAACCCTGTATCACACACCTACTGGGACTGGATGCATATATTGATGGCCTGTGGTGGGATTGCTCAGTATGAGTTCAATCAATATGCTAGGCGCCTTTGCAGTGCTGGCGTGTCCTTGCGGGCCCTTGACGATCTTGCTGCGGAGATTGTGTGGCCAAAGGGTGCTTATTGGTCAAAGAAATATTTCCAAAAGCGTGTGGTGGATAAAGACGGTGCCCATTTAAAGGCGTTTGCCAATGAGCTTTTCCAGTTGACGGACATTTGGCGCTTAATACTCCAGCTGGTGGTGCGCCCGGCTGGCATCCTGGAGCTGGAAACCAGAAGTTTAGAGAGCATGATGAAAATCATTGACATTTTGTCAATGCAGGAAGAGGCGTTGCCTCTTGTTGGTGACTTGGAAATCGAAATTGCCCAGCACCACGCTTGGTTTCTAGAACTTTACCCGGATTGCAACAAGCCGAAAACACACTGGCTACGACATGTTCCGTCCTTGTTCAGGGAGTTTGGCTGCAATCTCAGCTGCTTCAGCCCTGAGAAGAAGCACAAGGGAGTGAAGCAGCTGGCGCTTTTGATTTCTGCCAACGTTGAGAAAGGAGTCTTGTACCGCGCAGTTGCAGAAAATTTCTCTTCTTTCTCCAATGATGAAAATATGCTGCGCCCTATTTTCCTGGAACGGGCGCAGGACATGGAAGCTGAGTGGCTGCGGGCATTCTATCCGGACATGCAAGAAGCGAAGGTTTCAAAGACACTGCGTTTTGAAGGTGGACGGGTGTCAGCATCAGATATGCTATGGTTTCCGGCTACAAAGCACCTTGCTCAGGCATCCTTCTTTTTGCAGGTTCGGCTTTTGAACTCCTCTGAGTTCTTGATCCACGGGGACTTATATCAGCAGGTTCGGGACAGCAATACTTTTCGAAGCACTGGCGTTGCCAGGCTTTTTGTTTGCACTAAGGACATGGTGCCAATTTCTTTCTGCAAACGAAATGGCGGAATTTGTCCTTGTGTGAGGCTCGCCCACACGAACTGAGCCAGGGCATTTAGCTGAGCGAGTAAATGGCACTGGTCGACCCCTGTATATATGTATATATATATAACTTTGTACATACCCTATATGTAAACTTTTAAAATAAACATATATATATATATATATATTATAATATAATTATATATACTATTTTGTCAGACATGCAAATGTCAATATCTATGTACAACATATAAACCAGTTTAAACCCTATGTGCTTTGTGTTAAGGAAGATCCAACCCTTCATACTACCCCTCACCAGTTCATGCCAAATCTATGGAGTGCTTCTTTGGGTCACAGTGCTGTGCTTGTTTTGCAGAAGGTATGCACCAACATGCGACCACGTCAGTTCTTTGTAGTCGCAGCAGCCATATATACCCACAAACCCGAGATTTGACTTCAGATCTTTGAAAGGCTCGCCTTCAATCTTTGCAAGGCTCGCCTGCAGAGACTTGCGCCATGAGCGCCGCTAGCGAAGTGCCTGCTACTGCCACTGCAGAAGCTCTCCCCGAATCTGCGGCCAGTGAAGCTACCGAAGCGGCTTCGCCAGCTGAGACGGCAACATCTTGTGCAGAAACGCCTAGTGGCGTAGTTCCTCTGGACAAGGTGGAGACCGGCCCTGGACTTCCAGCAGAAAATTTGTGTTCCACCTGCAGGAAGCCTGTCTCTGAGGAGAATGGTGTGGTTGTGGCACGGGCAGTGGGGAAGACAGCTACTTCTTTGCGCTGCAGGGCATGCCACAATTTAAAAAGTAGGATCAACCGGGTGTTGAGCCACTATGGCTCATTGGCCCAGGATTGGACGAAGGTGACTGAAAATGAGAAGAAAGAATTTTACAAGAAGTACAAGGAGCAGGCGGGACCGGACCTTCTGACCAGGCTCCAGGAGACAGTGACGGAAAGCAAGAAGACCAGCAGCGCCGTCTCCTTCGAGGGCACCGGCGATTTCCTGGACGAGATAGATTTGGAGGAGAAGTACAAGAACAAGCCAGATCAATTGGCCGCTATTAAGGCCAACACCCGGACCTACTTCTGTCCAGTTCGACAGGTGCAGCTTTTCGAGGATGTGAAATATAAGCGCACGGCTGTGGAGACCGAGGAGTACGCGAAGGTGCAGAAACGCAAGAGGCAATCAATTCCGCTTGAACAAGGTGAACGTGATGAGACGGCTGCAGATTCGAGCCAGTGCAAGAAGGGCAAGAAAGAAGCAGCCAAAAGTGAGCTGCCGAAGTTGAAGGCTGGAGGCAAGAAAAAGATTTCCAAGAAAGTGGAACTGATGAACGCAAAGAAGCTGCAGCTGATGGATTGGAACTGCAAAGCGCGTGGTGACAAAGTCAAAGACTTGGTGCCTGGCTATGTCGTGAAGGCTTCCACAAAGCTGGTGGATGACGCTGTGGCCTTTGGGGTTGAATGCGACAGCATTCTTGAAAGTGGCCATGGCGACGCAGATGAGGTCATCAAGAAGGCAGACTCTTTCATGGAGCAGCTGACAGAGATGATGGGCCGCGTCAAGTGCCAAGTGGATCAGGCGCATGCTTTTGTTGCCACTGGTGCGAGCGGCCAGGAGTGAGGCTCGCCCGCTCAACTTCCAGAGGCTCGCCCTGAAGGCGGCAAATTTTGACAGCACGGGGATTCCTTATGAGGAGAAAGGAAAATATCCCGTTCTTTTTGTTTGCAGAAAAAAAAATCAAAAAACGAAACATTTTGGGCCGTATCGGGGCCGTATCGGGGCCGTATCGGGGCCGTATCGGGATGACTTTGGATACCCGGCCTTATTGGGACCATTCTCTTTCAAAAAATGAAATGTGAAAGTCACGGTTTTTTGGTGGCGCTCCGCGTGTGCAACTTCCACTGTGTATGAATTTGGGAATGGGCAAAATCACACGAGCTCAAAGGCCAGCCTTTGAAGCGTGACAAAAATATAAGTGCAAGCCGTAAAGAACACAAAAAGCGTCCAACACCCGGCCAAACACGTACTCCCCAGCGCGCACTTGGCTCACAAAGTCTCTGTGAAAGGCTCGCCTTCACCCATGGAAAGAAACGCTCCTGCACGCACGACTCAGACTGAGATGGCTGGAGGTCCCCCCCAGCTAGGTGGAGGCTCGCCCCAGCTGCAGACATGCGACGGCTCGCCCCAAAGAAAGCGAAGGAGCGGAGGTGAAGAAGCGCCGCGCAAGCAGCCACGCAGCTCCAAAGATTTATCCCCTGTTTCAATGGGCGCTGAAACTTTGACCCTCGACTTTTGGGAAGACAGAGACATAGAGGTGGGCGAGGACACCCAGCAATTCCCTGAGAATCCATCGATCGACTATGAGCTTGCATACACAGACTGGATGTTGTCCCAGTTGTCTGAAAAGGATGGCACGTGCAAGTGCAAATGGGTAACCCATGGCACTCGCTGGCATCGATGGGTTTGCTTTCTCTGCAAATATCCGGGACCCCAATGAGGCGCTTTCCTCCAGAGCCACCCCGAAACGCACGAGCCATGAACGGCGGCAGTTAGTTTAATTAAACCGTGAGGCTTGCCCACGTGATGCGCAGTGCAATCTAGTATATGATGCAATTTTTGCAAGAAAGAGAAAAATGAACAATCTGCTTTTCTTTGGGCTTACAAGGCTTTTTCCAGCTTGTCAGCTTTGGCGCATGTCAACAGGTCTACTTTCCCAACCACAATGTGCATTTTGACAAATGCAACAGCAGGAAAATAGCTGAAGCATCTGTTTTTCTTTGGCCCACATCTGCACACATACTTACAAACACCACAGTGTATATACCCAGCAAGCACGGCTCAAGAAAGCATTAGCTGTTTTGGTTTGAAGATGGGGTCGGAGGTTTTAGTTCCCGAACCCAATGACTGGAAAACAGAATTTCCACAGCTGAGGCTCGCCCAGCCAATCCACATAGCAATGCCATGCTGCGGAATAGACGGTGCTGGTTGGTCACTCCGAGCTATGGGGGTGCCCTTTACACCAAACAACGTATACGACCTGGAGACGCGATACAAGGAGTACTGGCAGGGCATGGTTGAAGAAGGCTCGCCTCTTCATTTCGGAAAGCACAATGGTGACATTGTCCAGGTCCAGCTGTCGGACTTGGAGCGCCCAGTGCATGTGCTTTGCAGTGGCCCGCCATGCCCGCCTTGGGCAGGAAATGGCAACAAGAAAGGTGTGGAAGACTTCCGAGCAAAAGCTTTTCTGGCTATTGTGAATATAGTGGCTTCGCTAGCCAAGTGTGGTGAGCTGCAAGCAGCGATCTTGGAAAATGTCCAAGGCATTTTACACCGCCAAGGTGGCGAAGAAAGTTTCATGTCAAAGCTTCTGCACATTTTGCAAGAAGAAGTGCAGGAATTTCTCTGGCAGGTGGACACCCTCAAGGCGGTGGACTACAAGCTAGCGCAGGACAGAACGCGTGTGTTCTTGCGTGGGATCCGGAGCACGTTGTGCCCAAGCGGGGCGGTGCCACCTCCACTACCCCCATTTGGCCACAGAGTGTTGACAGACTTTCTGGCGTCAATGCCTTGTGTGGACCGTAAGAAGCTCACAAAGTGCATGGCCCAAAACTTGAAAGACAGCCAAGAACAACTGCGGAAACTTTTGCAGGAAGGTCGCCTCGTAGAGACAGACGTTGTCTGCTTCCCACTGGACCGCGCAGATGGCAAAACATACAAGCGGCATATCAGCGTCAATCGTACACCAACATTGACCACCTCGAATTCATACCTGTTTGTGTCAGACATGAAGGTGGGCCTCCCAGATCAGAAACGGACACACTTCCGTTTCTTGCATCCGCATGAGCGGTTTGTTTTGCAAGGTTTCAACGTGGAAGTCGCCGAACAATTCGCTTCCAGCCAAGCCTTACAAGTCAAGGCAGCAGGAAATGCCTATCCAGTGCCACTCATTGGAGCAGCAATGGCCCCATTGCTGGCTGCCTTCGGTGAGCTGCCCCAGAAAGGAGAAAGGGAGCTGGAGTTCCCCACGCGTTTCCATGAGCGTTTGGCTGACGCCATGTACGGTGCTGGGAAGAAAAGCAAACCAAAGAAGGCAGGACATAAGGTGCTCAAACGACCGGCTGCACACCAATCATCAGACAAACCTGCAGACGAAAAATTGGACAAAACCCATCCTGGGCCCCATGACAAGGAGCAACATGACGGTGATGGGGCACAGCCTTTGGGTGAAGAACGTGCGGGGCCTTCCACCAAGAAGCGACCTGCCAGCACGGCAAGCATCGGAAGGCCCTGTCAGAAACCAAGACTCCCTGCCGCATGGCGCCTGCGTGGCTTTCTTTCTTCCTCGAGCTCTGACTCCGGCTGAATGTGCAAGGCTCGCCTGCACCATCATACCAGTTTTGAAGCAAGGCTCGCCTGCTGCGATGCGTAACCACGACGGATCCACAACTTGCGCTAAAAACAATAACTTGCAAGTGTTACCGCCCAGAAGCCCGTTGCACTCTCACAGGTGGGCAAAGATTGCATGAGTTTATTTCCTCTTCCACGCTGGTTCAAGCTGACCACGGGTTGCTGCGAGGCTTGCCCGCAGAAACATTGAGAGCGAAGCTTTTGCTTGTGATTGTAGGGACAAACCACATGGCTGAAGCCCGCTTTGATGGGATGCTTGACTACTTCGCTGCTCTCCAAAAGAGCTGCGGGGGGTTCCTTGAAAAGGACGCCTTAGACCCCCTGTTGAAAAGCTGCATGCTGGATATTGAACGCGCCCCGCCCATAACCATAGAAGCAGGGGCCAGCATGCTTAGAAAGCTTGAGAAAGCTACCGTGCCCCAGGCATGGCGTGAAGCTTTAGTGAAACTGGTGCAAGCCAAGGTTCAGACAGGCGCAGAGAACAGCTGCAACGAAGGGAATAAGAAGAACAAGGAAAAACCAAGGCAGACATGTCTGCACTTGGACAACTATTTCTTGAAGAAGGACTGGGAAAAACTGGCTTCGGATGGGTTGACTGACAAGGTCAACTTGGCAGCGCAAAGAATGGCAGCCCTGGGTTTGCTGAACCCAACAGAGCCGACTGTGGTGCATGCAGTCGCAATTCTGTATTTGACGTCGCACAAAGGGACCCTGGAAGAACTTAACATCACCGGCGTCCATGCTTTGAATACGGTGCGGGATTTGAAATCTGTGCTCAGAGGATTGAAAGGCTTTACGCAGTCTGGGATCACCAACTACCCAATGGATCCTGCAGAATTGCCCGGCCCCATATTCATGAAAGCGTTTGGACAAGAAAAGCCAGAGCCAAGCCGTCTGGATCCTCACGCGCTTGGATGGTTACAAGTTGTGCTACCTGCAAGGGACACGCACACATCAGTGCGAGGTGCCTGGGGAAAGCGAACCTCGCGACTACGCACTGGCAACAACTTCCAGGAGATGCTCATGAATGCCATGAGCAACCCTGACATGGCAGCAGCTTTCGCCAGCATGATGAGAAACAATTCTGGAGTGCAGCTGAACATGACACGCCGGAAACAGTTGATGCCAAGCGCTGCCTCTGCACAGGTGGAACCACTCATGTTGGCAAACGGGCCAGCTGCTTCTCACAACTTGGCAGGCAAGCAAGACCCAAAGGATGAAGTCGACCTCGAGACATCGCTTCCAAGTAATGAAGAACCTAGCATCAAGGCTCGTCCTGGTGCAAAAGAAATCAGCAAGGCTCGTCCTGCTGTAAGTGAAACCAGCAAAGCTCGGCCTGCTGCAGGCGAACCCTGCGAATCTCTGCCTGCAAAGGACAGCAAGGAATTGCCTCCGCTGGAACCCAAAAGCGTAGATGCCATGGCGAATGACATCTTGGCAGCCATTGGCGGCCAAAAAAGAAAGAAGACCGCTGCTGAAGAGACCACCGAGGGCGATGACGTGCCCATGCCGAAGGTAAAAGCCAAAAGCAAACCAAAGGGAAAGGCCAAAGCCACAGCAAAGAAAACATCTGCTGTGGCCAAGGCCAAGAGTACGCCTCCCAAGACCAAGAATGCTGCGCCCAAAGCAAGCCCGAAGAAAAAGAAAGAGGTCTTGCCATTCCCTGGGACAGCTGCACATGAGCCCGTTCGCCACAAGAACGCTACAGTTTACATATGCCCCAAGTCGACCAACTACAGGGTCAAACTTGATGGTGAGAAGAAGGACAAGGCCTTCAGCTGGAAACGCCAGGATGCGAAGGAGGCATGGGTGCAGGTGAAGGAATACATCCTGAACTTGGAGTGAAGGCTCGCCTCACCAACTTGGTGGAGGCTCGCCCCACCATGGCTGAATCTGTCACCCAGTTGACGGAAGCTATGCCCACCTATCGCCTGAAGAGAGGGCTTGTTTCACAAAGCACAGCCCGCAAAGTCCAAAATTTGCATCCTGATATTTGGCCTGCTTCTTTTTGGAGACGGGTTGTTCCTGTTTTTTTGCTGCTGCATTGAAAATTTGAGTGGTCCTTTTTGTGTTTTTTGCAACCTCCGGTGTGTTTTTCAATATGTCCTTTGGCCTGAATGTTGCCCCCTCGTGCGTGTTTTTTTGGAATCCCTCGTGGCCTTTTTGTGGGACCCTCGTGGCCATTTTCCTGATCACGAGGATTTGCTGAGCTAAGTGGTTATAACTCCCGCTAATTAGTTAGCTGCGAGGACCCTGCAAATTGTTTGTAAATGGTTATAACCTTCGTTATAAAACAGCTAAACGCAAAAGCGCCAAAGCATCGAGGATCGAGAATCGAGAATCAAGAATCGAGGATCGAGCATCGAGGATCGAGAATCGAGAATCGAGAATCGAGAATCGAGAATCGAGAATCGAGAATCGAGCATCGAGCATCGAGCATCGAGAATCGAGAATCGAGAATCGAGAATCGAGAATCGAGGATCGAGCATCGAGGATCGAAAATCGAGAATCGAGAATCGAGGATCGAGAATCGAGGATCGAGGATCGAGGATCGAGGACCGAGGATCGAGGATCGAGAATCGAGGATCGAGGATCGAGAATCGAGAATCGAGAATCGATCGAGGATCGAGAATCGAGAATCGAGGATGGAGAAACAAGATTGAGGATTGGGGATCGAGGATCGGGGATGTGAAGAACAGTAGCGTGCGCTTGCGCAGACAATGTTTGGTATACGCATAGTGTTTGGTAGGCATGTGTGTGAACGAGGCATAGTTCAGTACCCTCATCGATTCATGTCGGCATGTAAAAATCATGAAGCAGTGTACCCTTCTAAGGTGCTCAAAAAAGTTAGTAACTGGCCTTAGTTATACAAAACGTTATGAAAAGTTATGAAGAGAGGCAAATATCAACTATTTTGTCACATTTTTATACATTTTTATAATTTAGAAAAATTGAAAGGACACTTGTTTTTATTGTATCGAAAACAATATTTTTTCAATATTTTTTCTAATTATAGCGGTTGAGCCGCTTCGAAGTTGTTTTTTTGAAAAATGCGCGGTTTTCACCGCTCACATGGCTGAGGGAATGTGCAACTGGTTTTTAAACAGAACAGGCCACTGTGGGAGCGCGCCTTTTTAGGTGCTTTATGCACCTGCAATGGGTTAGTTTGCTCTTTGCAATCTCACCTTTGCAGTTTCTTTTCTTTCTACAAAGCCAAAAAAAGAAACCAAAAAAAAAACAAGAAACAAAAAAACATACCCAAAAAACTGCATCTGACCCCCTCCCCTTGGGGTGTGCAATCTTGTTTTTTTTGTTGTTTGTGTTGTTTTTTTGGTTTATTGGTGTTCTGCTTTCTTGGTTCGTTGTTATTTTGAGGGACTGGCAAAAAAAGTGGCAGGATCTAACTCTTTGCCATTTTTCCCCCCTTAGGCATTGCAAATTTGTTTGTGGTTGTTTCTGCTTGCTTTAGGTCTCTGGTTCCATTAGAAACCATGTAAAAACCAAGGAAAAACAGGTATCCTTGGGGGAAGGTTAGGGGCTTGCGGCATGGATTAAGCGGTTTTGTTTTTGATTTATTTTTGAAAACATGCCAGAAGACTATGAAAAAACAAAGGCAGCCAATGAGTACGTTTTTTGATATTGACATTGCTGACTATAAACCCCAGTTTCCCCTAGTACATCCCAATATATCCCACCCATATGGGAATGTCTCAAAATGAGAGGAGCCCTTTTTTAAAAAAAAAGTGGCGTTCTGGTGGTCAAAAAGGGCGCGCCTCATTTTGAGACGTCCCCATATACCACAGAGGTCTTTACAGGCTTGGGTGAGGGACTGAGGGATTTGATTAGATTAGATTGGATTAGATTAGATAGATTGGATTGGCTTGGCTTGATTTGGATTGGATTGGGTTGGGTTGGATTGGACTGGATTGGATTAGATTAGATTAGATTGGACTTGACTGGATTGGATTGGATTAGATTAGATAGATTGGATTTGAGTGGGTTGGATTAGATTGGGTTGGGTTGGATTGGATTAGATTAGATTAGGTTAGATTGGATTGGATTTGGTTTTGTTGGATTGGAATTCGATTGGATTGGATTGGATTGGATTGGAATTAGACTGGATTAAATTGGTTTGGATTGAAATTACATTAGATAAGGTTAGATTAGAGTAGGTTAGATTTGATTGGATGGGGTTGTTGGATTGGATTGGATTGGGCTGGATTGGATTGGATTGGATCAGATTAGATTAGATTAGATTAGATTGGATTAGTGAGTGTACCAGTATACCACCAGTTTGCCACCAGTATACCACCAGTATACCACCAGTATACCACCAGTATACCACCAGTATACCACCGGTATACCACCAGTATACCCTCAGTATACCACCAGTATACCACCAGTATACCACCAGTATACCATGGTATACGGTCAGTATACCATGGTATACGGTCAGTATACCATGGTATACGGTCAGTATACCATGGTATTATACCCTAGTATACCGTAGTATCCCCAAGTAAACCCCAGTTTCCCCTAGTATATCTCAATATATCCCACCCATATACCACAGAGGCCTTTACAGCACTTCAATAAGATTGGATTGGATTGGAATTAGATTAGATTAGATTAGATTGGGTTGGATTGGATTGAAATTGCATTAGATAAGGTTAGATTAGAGTAGGTTAGATTGGATTGGATTGGGTTGGATTAGATTAGATTAGATAGATTGGATTGGATTGGAATGGATTGGGATGGGTTGGGTTGGATTGGACTGGGTTGGATTAAAATTACCCACAGGACGAGGGGTTGTCCCGAAGGGACAACCCCGTCGTCCTACGAGGTTGAGCGGAGCTAGCAACTCATTGGTTCCATTATCCCAGTGCCCGGGGGTTTCCTTGTCATAACATTTCCTTGTCATAATCTCCTAGCCCCATGGCACATATACGCATACTTCTATTAGGGGTTCATTTAGGGCTTACATAAGTTATAAAATCGCCGGGCCCCATGGAACATATACGCATACTTCTATTAGGGGTTTGATGAGGGCTTACATAAATTATAAAATGCCCCGGCCCCATGGAACATATACGCATAATACTTCTATTAGGGGTTTCATTTAGGGTTTACAGAAGTTATAAAATCGCCGGGCCCCATGGAACATATACGCATACTTCTATTAGGGGTTTCATGAAGGCTTACATAAATTATAAGATCCGGAGTCGCCAAAAAGTGGAAAAGATTGAAACAGTGGAAACGGCCGAAACGCGTGAAGTCCGCAGAGGGTTCACTTTTCTGACTGATTTTCCCAAAAAATTGTCTTAGACCACGCGACCTCACAGATGTACCAGAGTCAAAAAACACTGCGCCTGTGCAGAGAAATGAGCTTCCCACTGACGTTCATACGACCATTCCGGGACAACCCTCAGTCCTGCCCGTAAAATTAGATTAGATTAGGTTAGATTGGATTGGATTGGGTTGGATTGGAATTAGATTAGATTAGATTACATTAGATTAGATTGGATTGGCTTGGATTAGATTAGATAGATTGGATTTGACTGGATTGGATTGGATTGAATTGGATAGGATTGGATTGGATTAGATTTGATTTGGCTAGATTAGATAGATTGGATTGGATTGGATTGGATATGATTGGATTGGATTGGACTGGACTGGATTGGATTTGTTTGGGTTTGATTGGATTGGATTGGATTATTATATAGATGAGATATATCTGGATTGGATTGGATTGGATTGAATTGGATTAGATTAGAGTAGATTAGATACATATATCAATGAAAAGTAATCCAGGTTTCCACGAATGCTGCTTTTTCAAAGGAAGATTGTGTTGCCATAAAGGACAATGCTCTGTTGTAAGGAGCGAAAAAACATTCTGAAAGAATCTCACATTTCAAAACATCTTGCACTTTTGAAAGGGATGCTCTATGTCTATGTCAAAAATACTGCGTATTGTGCAGCAATATTGGCTTTCTAAAAGGGATACTGCTCCTTTGAAAGGAAGGCTAGACATGTGGAAATAACAAGATTTCCTTTGAAACGGGCCCCCAAGATGAAAAAGGTCCTGGCCAAGAATGTTCCTTATGCGCGCGAAACCCCCAAGATTAATTTCGACCGAATTTTTCATACAAAGGCAAAAGCTCGGTCGAAATTAATCTTGGAGGCTTCTAGGCCAGGACCCCTTTCACCTTGAGGACCCCTTTCAAAGGAAATTTTGTTAAATGCACACTGTACTCCTCCAAAGGGCATGGTGTATCTTTTAAAGGAACATTTGATATTTCATACGGATATTGTTCTGCAAAAACACACTGCGTTGCTCCAAAGGAAGATTGCACTTATGAAGAAGGGTATGCTGCATTTCTGTTTTGGATACTGCATGCATTTGTTGCAGGTATGGGTATGTTGATGTATATTGTAATTACGTTGAAGACATCTAGGATATCCTGCAAAAATTGAGTTTTGTCAAAGGGACTCTGCAGCATTTAGCCAAGGTAAAGTGAACACCTGGACACTTCTTCAAGCAATACATCCTCTGTAGTGGGCATGAACACATCTTCATTCACAGTTTGGGTTTTAACACGTGATTAATTATAGTGTTTGACATGCTGAAAACGGCTGTTCCAACAAAAATAGCTTTTAGCGATTTGAAAACCGCTCCATTTGGCATTTTTTTGAGCAGTTGAAAACGCTTCAAGCAGCAAACACTCAAAATCATCAAAAAGATCAAAATTTGATCACTTTTAAAGACACATTTTTTTATAGCAAAAAGAAATACAAAAAGTTAGCTAAGAAGTTATGACTTAGTAACTGGGATATAACCCTAGGTTATAACCCAGTTACTAACTTTTTTGAGCACCTTAGTTGGCAAGCCAACTTGCAATCGTGAGGGAAGCCGAGAATTAGGAGGGTTGTCCAATGGCCATCGCCTCAGCCAATGCTCATGATGCCCATGATGCCGCTCTCAGAAACAGCCGAGGAGACTTTGACACGTTGAAGACCCAGTTCAAAAATGTTCAAAAGATTCGGATTGGACCCAGGTCGTATCTCTCATTCATGGCCAAAACGTCAAAACTTGCAGCTGAATTGAGCCCAAAAAAAGGCTCCGCATCGAACAATGGTGCAAACATGTCGGATTCTGCCATCACATCATCATTACAATCTTTATCACCCTTCGTTGTTAAGAGACACCGTCATGGCCTTTTTTAAATGCTTATTTTGAAGTTTTGAAATGTTTGCGACACTTTTACAGCGTCTTTGTTTGAGTCACAGCGTTTCCTTCGGTTTCCTTCGGTTTCCGTCTTCCCCCAGTCCTCTTGCAACGGACCACGTGGTGGAATCAACCTTAAATAGTGAAGGCCAGGGTGCTGCACGTTGGCTTTCAGGGGCATTGCAGCAAATGGTGCATCCCAGTGATTTCACCTTGCCGTCCTCCTCCACCGCAATGAGCCATGGAAATCTTGATGTCCAAACGAACGAATGCTTCACCCACAAAGCATCGAGGCCCTTCAAGCACGTCTTGCCATGACCCTCTGAATCCCTGGATGTGGACAGCATCTTGAACACAAATGTGCTGGCAACGCAATCAATGGACCATTGAGCTCTGACAGCTCACAACCACTGTGAACCTTGTAAAGTGACAGAAACTCAATGTGACTGGGCTCTTACAGCCCTGAGAGCTCTCAACCATTTGGGGAGCCAGCACTGCTTGACTGCCACCTCCGCTGCCATGACCAGATAGCTAGGCACCATTGCAATGGATGTGCCCACGGACATGTTGACAATCAATGTCAGCCCAGCCTGGTTCCGTGTGCCCCAGCTGCAACAACTACAGAAGACTCCCCAGTGCCTGCCATGGATGGATGACTGACTGGAATGCTGGAAAAGGCTTCCAAATTCAAAGCAGAGGAAAAACAATGAGGCTCTTACAGCACAAATTCAACACAACCTTCACTAAGCCTTCAGGTTCTTCCGACCAGAAGAAAGGTTCCTATTCCCAACTGTTAGACAAGTCTTCCAGATCCAAACCATTTCAGCCCAAGACTTCCTCCAGCTCAAAGCGCGCATGGCCTCATTGTCACGGAATGTTCTGTTATCAAAATCATCATCTGATTCACTTGGGTGTGCAAATTTTCGAAATAATCAGACAGGAAGCATCGAGACCCTTCAAGCTCCCCTCAAGGTGACAGTGAGCCCTGACATCCCTGACAGCTCTCAACCGCTGTATATGTTTTTAAAGTCATACTGGGTTCTTGCAGCCCTGACAGCTCTGAACCGTTTGGGGCGCCAGCAATGCTTCCAGCACATGACCGCAGCTTCGCCCGCCACTGCACAAATCACAGCTGCAGTCAATCCAAAGTTCAATGACAATGAACATGTCGATCGACATGTTGACAATTAATATCTTGTATTTGCCTGGTTCATGTCTCTGCCACAACAACCAAAGGAAACCGTAAATTGCTGGAAAACTGCAAATCCGCATCGCATCGCAATTTCCGCCCCATACCCAGTATCTAGTAATTTCCATGATTCATGACCAGGGCTCTTACAGCCCGAAACATATAAGAGCTCTCGCAGCTCACTGAGGAGGAGTGAGACAAAAGTCCTTGGATTCTTCTGCTGCCATTGTCTCCTGTTCCTGCCAGGGCTGGAAACAAAGCGGTGTCAACATGTCAACACATCTAAACTGAATGGGAATAAGGCTCTTACAGCCCTGCGAGCAACAACGAGAACAAAAGCCAGGGACTCGAAGCCAAGTGTTGTCAGCATGTCTACAAATCAAAACCAAATGGAACTCTTGCAACCTTGCCAGCCACCAATGAAAGGAAAAGTCCTTGTCGTCCTCTGTTCTCGCAGCCTTCTTTGATTCCTTCCAGGGGCTGGAAACCAAATCATACCAACATGGCAATACATGTTAAAAGAATGGAAATAAGGGTCTTACAGTCCTTGGAATCCTCTGCCCCAGATCGTCGTCTCGACGCTTTCTTTGCTTCCTTCCAGGGGCTGGAAGCCAAGTGGAGTTAGCAAATCATGGGCTGCGACGCTGTCCTCCTCAATGATCCTCTTCCTCAATATTTTCCCTTCTTCTAGGAGTTTTTCCCTCGCCGTTGCCTGCAATGAAACTAAAAATAGATCATGTATGTTAGTTGAAAAACGGGAACGTTCAAATTCAAACAACATTCGCTGGCCTGTTGCTCTTCGAATGTGTTCTTCATTTGCCTTGTCTAGAACATCTCCATGTCCTGTCAAGGCTTTAGAGGGGGCAGCATGGACATGTCAGCAACGCATCACATTGCTGGCCTGCCACTCCCTGAAAAATGCCTCATTCTTTTCCATGGCCCGAACCTCCCACTTCTGCTGGGCTCCTTCCTGCATAGTCTATGTGTGTGTCTGTGTGCAAAAGTGTAATTGTGTGTGTGTGTCTGTGTCTGTGTGTGTGGAATAATATGAATAACCGGCCTCTATCTTCTGTTTCTCCTGCAGCCACCACTCTTTCCAGGCCCTGCAGCCACCACTCTTTCCAGGCCCTCGCATTATTGGCCTGAAAGAGATAAACATGGTGTGGAGGAGATAACCATAGAGCTATATATACACACACACACATGGCGGGCAGGCCTTCTCTATTTCGGCGGTTTCTCTGTCCTTCTCAGCCTTTTCTTTGTCTTTGTGCTTTTCTTTGTCTTTTTGGGCCCGGATTGTGTCTTTCTCAGCCTCTTCTTTGTCTTCCTCAGCCTGGGCCACCTTTTGCGAAGCCCATTGCTGAAATTGTTTCCATTTTTGGCTCTCCGGGGCCTAGGATTCAAAGGCGCCCAAGCTAAGTGCACATCAATGGGATTCCGAAACCATTCAAATGAATAGACATGTCCTCAAACTGAATTCTATGTTTTCATTGGCTGAAGTTGAATATTAAAACAATCTCCTGCCTGGTTTTGAGACTTCATGGCAGCCTGGTGCCAGTGGTCACGCTCTTTGAGCAGCGTTGCCGCCTGCCAGCATTCCACGAGGAACATAACAACCGTTAAACTCGGCACTACGCCTAGTTTTTTTTGCTCTTACAGCATCATTCATTCAATGAATGCAATAAGGGTAAGTTGAGAATGCCGGCCTGGTTGTTCAGCGCTGACGCTTGGCACTGCAGCTGGGTTGCCTGCATTCCGTGAAGCAGTGACACAGTAGCCACCAACCCATCTAGTTTTTGACAGCATGATTGATCGATGGGTTTTATGCATACTCCTATACAGCATGATTCCCAAGCAGTGCCTGCTTCTCCCACTGCGTGCAGTTGGCCAGGGCTGCTGCAGCCTCCCATGTGCACAGTATCTCTCACCCGGCCGTCCGACAAATGCGCCAACCTGCCTGAGCTTGCGGCTGCCCTTGGAGGTTGGACCTCTCCATCATCAGAGCTGACACCCGCGACGATGCCTGCAAGCAGTCTATCGCATGAACATGCATGAACACAAGAATAACTGGCAAAGTTTGATGCTCTTACAGCACCGCAATCTTCCGATTGCAATACCACATTTCCCATGAATAAAACTCTCTAAACTTGGCAATCAGTTGGATGCTCTTACAGCATCAGAATCATTGACAACATCACCCACCCCAGCCTCCAGTTGCACCTGCATCAACTCCTCCGAAAGGTTTTTGACCTTCTCACAGACCTGCCAATACTTCCTCATCTCCATTTTGTCCTGGCTAGATCCTCTCCTCTGGCTCTTGCCCTTGCCTAGTGGTTGCAAGGTCAGGAACAGGTCCGCGAACCATTTCGGAGGTTCGGTGCTTGGCCCATGGGCAGGGTTGCCTGTGGGTTGGGCACACTGGCTCTGTTGAGCCTGCTGGGCGGCCCTTGGCGGCTGCTTGGGCTCGGGCGGCCGCATGCTGCCGTCTGGCGCGCTGTGCTTCGGCGTTGGCGCCATGTACTTCGAGACCACCTGCGCAGCCTGGGGCAGCGTCGGGTGTCCCCCCTGCGGGTGCTGGCCATCGCCAGCCATGGTGCCGTCTTGAAAATCAAACAGCAGCGGATGTCATGTAGTCACACATTGCGAAGCTCTTACAGCCTACGCAATGTGGGCTCTTAGATGCTCTTACAACCGATCATGTCATGTTTCAAGATGCTTCAAAAGTTTCGCTTGGGTGCTCATTCAAGACATGCTACACTCCACAACACCAAATTTAATGCATTGAAGGCTCTGCTCTAAGCCCACTTGCCCGAATCCACAAGCCTGGGCTGGAGAAAAGGCGACTTCCCAATGCATGGTATTGTCGGGGTTTTTCTGGGAAAGCGCCTACGGGGCAGAAGGCGTTGTGCCACGAAGAGGTCAGGGAACCAGAGAGCCCCACGAACACTAGGAAGAAAGGTGACTTCCCATCATTTTTTCATGGGTAACCTACTAACCGACCTGCCCATTGAACCAGAATCCCTATACTGAAAATTAAGAAGTGTCCAATCGTGAATGCATCATGCCATCATGAAAAACTGAACTGTCAAGTAAACCCCTTTATGAAGAAAGTTTGTCAAAACACCATCAGCTGGGGCCTCCAACCCACTTGCTGTCTCTGGCAGGCCCCATGCAGTTGCCTGAACGGCGCAAGGAGCAAAAAAGGTCACAGAATCGGTGGATCAGTGGCTCTTCAGGGTTGGTCACCTCCTGTGCTGTAAGAGCATAGCATGTAATCTAGCATTTTGATATCCAAAGTAACGGCAGGTGCCAGGCCTGACAGCCCCGCACCAGCTACAGGACCGAATGCTAGATTGTATGTGAACGAAAAAATGGGGTTGATGGTTGAATGCATGAAAGGACAAATGACCCAACTAACTAGTGAGTTGAAACATGAAAGAATGAAAGGTGAATGCATGGAATTGTTGGATAGAATGGCTGATAGTTAACGAGGAGTTGCCAATCAATATGGCCTTTCTGAAAAATGTTGATTGCACTGATGCCTTTGTCTTTTCAACCCAGCAAATCTGAACCAAGGACTGACGAACACAGCACGCATGTTTTTTTTTGGCAACCTGTTCCGGATATGCTAGTTCTACTGGAGCAAGGTTTTTACTAGCCTAAGGCTCTTACAGCCTCTTTTTTCGGCTCTTACAGCCAGGCTCTTACAGCCTTTGATGGCTCTTACAGCCAGGCTCTTACAGCCTTTGGGGCTCTTACAGCCCATGCAGCTCTTACAGCTTCTGAGGCTCTTACAGCCTTTGGGGCTCTTACAGCCCATGAAGCTCTTACAGCTTCTAAGGCTCTTACAGCCAGGCTCTTACAGCCTTAAGCTCTTACAGCTCCTGGCGCTCTTACAGTGCCTTTTTTGGTCCGTCCTGCCCCCCCCCACACCCGTTTGATTTGACAATGTTTAGCATGACCATGACTTAGCCAATACTTTCTTTTGAAAAAATGCATGCCACATTTCATGTGTATGAGCACAGTGCCAAAATGTCAAAACTTCCAAAATTGAAAAATGTGTTTCAAACATATTATTTTGTCTTTGTTATCGTTTGCCAGACGCTTAAAAAAAACACAAATCAACATGTCAATAAACATGCTGAAATACAAACCAGTGTTGAACTCCTTTCCTTACCACCAGAAGGAACTAAAAAAATATATAGAGTTTTTAGTTGGACGATTTCCAGCTTGAATCATGTTTTCTTTTTTCAAGCCACGTGATCCTATCATGTTTGTGGATCTATGACCCATACAAATAGAATAATTTGGATTTTTTGTTGGACGATTTGCAGCTTGAGTATCCTGGTTAAATCATGTTGTCTTTTTTCAAGCTACGTGATCCTATCATGTTTGTGGATCTATGATCCATAAAATGCCAGGATTTAAGAAAAATCCTTTATCAATGAGCCAGAAACTCTACTAACACTTCCACAGTCATCAATCCATTCTTCTCTGACTTTTGTGAGTATGCGTGCATGACAGTGCCTGCCCTCAAAGTCAGCAAACCTGTTGGGATTTGGGCCCACCCCTTCTCTTGAAGAGAAACCGTGACAAATGCGAAAGCAAATCGGTCGGAGAGGTGAAAAAGGGATAGCTAGCCTCTTGCGTGTGACCTTTCCGGGTTTCCACAAAATTAGGCTCCCAGTGTTGACAGTCAAACCAGTCTTGAACAACTTGTTGCTGTAGGCAGGGTTGGCTAGCCACCCTCACATGTTGGTGCGGCTGTTTGGGGCTGGCTAGCCGCCCCAGTGTTTCATTTCAACATGATCTAGAGAGACAAGGAGATGAAGGTTTGTCATAAAGTTCTCTTTCTATTTTGCCTGCTTGCTGTGGTCGTCTGATGTAGCGGGGCTGAAAGTTTGATGTGGGGCATCCGTGAGATTTTGTTAGTTCCAAGATTAATGATTCTGGCTTCTGTGCTGAGCAGCACACATCCAAATGTTACTCAGTGTCTTTGCAAACCTGTAACCTCCCGGCACGTTTCACACACTGTCTTTGCTCTCTACTTTCTGGCGTTGCGGCTCAGTTGCCCGCATGGGCGGGGAAAGCCTGAGAGAAAGAGATGCATGATGCAGGGCCATGGCACATTTCTCATTGGAGTGTGTGTTATCTCCTGCGCCGACGTCTGCATTTCCAGCTGTTTCAGAAATTCTTTCCTCGATACCCTCCCATTTTTGCAGAAAGTGCTGGAAACAAAGCATGAACTGAATCTAAGCCTGAAGCAAGTGGAGAACGTTTTGTGGAAAATCGAAACCTTCTTGCCCTGCATGGTGAGTGTGTCTCATCCATTGGGACAAAACCCGTTGCAGTTAAAGAAGTACAGGAGCTTGTCCCAGATGTTCCCACTGTCTGCATGCCGTCTCTGGTAACGTCATGCGCTCGCTGTGGTGGTGCCTTAGAGGACAAGGCAGATAGATCTTCTTCCCGCTTAGTGAACAATTTACGTGGAAATGATGAGATGGACAATTCTTTCCTGATTTTCACTCAAGCAGCTGGTGTTCTCTTTGCGGAATTCAAGGAAGGGTTTTGCTCTGCTTGCCGATTGTGTTTTCTTGGTTGCTGGCAATATGAGAAAAAGGCTGGGGCATTTCATCACATGGACAAGCTGCACTGCTGCGGGTTACAGGCAGATGTGGATGTGTTTGCGCCTAGGGCATCGCTAAGCTTGCATGCTTTGTGCTTTCATTGATGAAATTTGCTGCGGTTTTTTGTTCATGACGGACAGAAGTTTGAGTTTGGCTGACACGCAGTTGCTTCACATCCCCCGCGGTGTCAGTAGGCTTGCTTTGTTACGCTCAGGTCGTCCCTCGTTATCGAAGCTTCTTCGCTGTTGAAATCGGCTTGCTGCATTCAATCACAGATGAAATTTCCCATAGCGGCGCGACCTTTTCCTCTGCTGTGCTGCGATGGGTGAAGCAGCACCCAGAAGAGGGCCAAGTTCGACTGCTGCAAGGAAAGGACCTGACCATGCTAGAGCGTTGCCGCAAAAGGTTAGAAGAGGCCTGATACTTATATCACTGCAGCAAACTTAGCTGCGAAGCTTTGCATGGCATCCAGTGGCGCTTGACGCCGGATCATGAGATGTGTAGTTAGTTGCTTGGTTTTCAAATTGCATTGTCAGAAGGAAATGTACAGTTTTGGGGTACGAGCAGATGGATGATCAAGTAGCTGCGGCGTGACAATGCTAGTGTGACACAAATGAGTCGAGCACTTCCAGTTTTTGTAGGGTCGTGGAACCAGGTTTTTGCTGTTGTGTTGAAATTGACGGAGCTTTGCCATTAGGGCCGAAGATATTTCCGAAACTCTGGCAGGACTTAGATGGCTTTGAGGCTTCCTTGTCCCAAGTTCTACCTCATTTGCGAAAGCGAAGACTGAACAAAGTTGCGGAGCACATCCACACTTGCCCCATATGTCAGCAATGTGTGTGGATTTTGTTGGATGGAAAGCAGGGTGCTCGGCGATTCATCTGCGCCGGTCTAGAGTCATCGAACATTTGCAGATCTAGGGGTGTCAATTTACACTGGATGCATGAATCACGCGGGGTCCAACGATGTCTTTTGCAAGCGCTGTCGCCCAAGCAGTTTGCAGCAGAGCGCTTTAATTGCACAAGAAAAGCGCTACAGGTCGAAACTTGTCCATCTGAAGACGGTTTGTCAGTGGAGACTTGGTACTTGGTCCGTTGCAAGTGTCCACAGAATGGCATCTTCGAAGCACCTTTGCCCCGCAAGGAAGTGCACGCAGATCTACTGGCAGAGTTCGAGAAAGGGGCCTTGCCAAAAAAGCGAGATCATGGTAACCTGCGTACTCAATGTCGCTGGCTGAAGAGTGCTCGCATGGTTCGTCAAGCTGCCTTGAAGCGCGCTGGGCCATGCAAGCCAGCGCACCGTGGAAGAGCCAGCAGCAAGAAGGAGGAGGTCAAAAATCTCGCGGGCGGATGGCTGACAAGTCTACAGATGGCAGTGAGCTTGCTGAGTGCGGTATTGATAAGGAGAAGAAAACTTTGAAGCGCAGGCGATGCACAGGTGGCATTTTAACTGCTACGCTTTCCTGTGGTCAGCTGGTGGATTGGCTAGAATTACCTCGTGGAGAAGCCCTCGATGTAGTGTACACCTTTGTTCTGGATGTGATTAAAGAGCTCTCGGCCCGGCAAGTGCAGGTGAAGTGCGTAGGGTATGACAACGCCTGTCGGCTCCTTGCAATGGCTGAGCGTTGTGAGAATTTGTGCAGCCCATGGACCAACAAAGTGACGGAGTGTCGAATTGTCTTGGATAGGTTTCACAAGGGAAACCACTCTTGGTGTCTTCGTCATCGCCCGCAGGCGCCAGGGAAGTTAAATAAGAGGAATACAAACAAAGGCAATGTGAGAGGGAAAGTGTGTTAATACCGAAACAGGTTGGAAATTTGCGCGTTCTTGCTTAGCATTTGCCTGCAAGGTAATGGGGTTTTGTTCAGCAGTGAACACCCGTAGCAGTACCACCGTCTCTTTTGCATCCTTGATTTGGGTCACAAGCTCATGTGTCTTCGAAATGGATTGTGAAAGCATGTGCAATGCATTGGTCGCGTTCATTTTCCTCAACCAAATGCTGCTGGGTGGATCCTGATCATCCAGACAACATTCCTTTGCTGCAGTTTTGCAACTCGGAGAGCTGTGAGCAGTTGAACGCATGGATCTCTGGTCGCACTGCTGCTGCCTTGAACTTGACAGGCGCTAGATTTGGTGTCTATTGGAATGCTCTCTTTGCTGCGCACAATGAATGGCTGGAGCAATGTAGTGCGGCGCGTCGTCGCTTCCAGGCAGGCTTCTTGAAGAGAAACCAAGACAAATGCGAAAGGAAATCGGTCGGAGAGGTGAAACAGGGATAGCTAGCCTCTTGCGTGTGACCTTTCCGGGTTTCCAGAAAATTAGGCTTCCAGTGTCGACAGTCAAACCAGTCTTGAACAACTTGTTGCTGTAGGCAGGGTTGGCTAGCCACCCTCACATGTTGGTGCGGCTGTTTGGGGCTGGCTAGCCGCCCCAGTGTTTCATTTCAACATGATCTAGAGAGACAAGGAGATGAAGGTTTGTCATAAAGTTCTCTTTCTATTTTGCCTGCTTGCTGTGGTCGTCTGATGTAGCGGGGCTGAAAGTTTGATGTGGGGCATCTGTGAGATTTTGTTAGTTCCAAGATTAGTGATTCTGGCTTCTGTGCTGAGCAGCACACATCCACATGTTACTCAGTGCCTTTGCAAACCTCTAACCTCCCGGCACGTCTCACACACTGTCTTTCTGGCGTTGCAGCTCAGTTGCCCGCATGGGCATGGAAAAGCCTGCTCATTCGCCGGCGGAAGGCTAGTTGCAATAAAGGCAGCTTGTTTGGGTCCAACCTTTTTGGCACATCTCGCCACTCGGAGGAAGGCTAAGACATATAGCATCCTAGAAGAGGTAAAAGCAGCTATAACTCAGCACGGCTAGGTTTGACAGACACGCAGCCATGGGTCGGAAAGGCCGTACTAAAAAGGATGCGGCGGAAGACCGCGATCCTGGAATGTGCCAAGCAGACCTCTTGCTGGCATACCAACTCATGGATACAACCAATCCATTCCCTTCGGCCTCTGTAGCTGCGAGGCAACCTCTGGCTTGGAAGGTTTGCTGTGCGTTGGCCCAAGCAGCTTCCTTGCATCCTGGGTGCATGTTTGTGCACATGTTGTGCTTGGTGGCTCTGACTCTCGATGCGGTGCAGGTGAAATACTCTGGGCTGCTGGAAAAATTCTGCAATTTGATGGTCTTGCAACATGGTCCGCCGGGGGACGGCAAGAGCATAGCCGTGTGGCTAGATCTTCACATCCTGAGTTACTTTGACAAACTGAGACTCTGGGTGGAAAATGCATCTGATAGTCAAGTCACCCATGGTCACGTCACACATGTCCTTTATGAAGCAGTCTTGGTAATCATGGGGCAGATAGCCATGAAAGCATTGGCATGAGTGAAGGTAACAGGGCAGGTCACATTAAATGTCATGCGGGTGGCTGTTTCTGTCGCAACAGCGCAGGAGACAAGCGTGCACAGGCGAAGTACAAGGCAGAATATGAAGTGTGGCGGAGTTCTGGCTCAGGGCCAGTAGAAGAACCGACAAAACCTCCACCTCAAGATGCATTGTGAATCGCATGACTTGGGTGGGCTTGGGCCAACACATGCACCAACAAGATGGCTGCGCCATCTTAGCTCTCCACGAAGGACGTACGTTCCTTTAGCACACATTCGAAGGATCTGTGGGTGGCGGCATCGAAGAATTGAACCAGCTAAGCGATCATGACTGATATAAGAATACCATTTCTTCACAAAGTGATCCCCGTTGGGCGTTCAACTTAGGGTGCAGCACCAGGTTTTCATCCCAAACGCCTAGTTTAAACACCTGGAGGGCCAAGGTGTGAGCAAAAAAAAGTGAAACGATGAAAAGCGGACCCTGAAAACAGCAGTGCCCAGCGTGTGCTCCAAAAAAACCTTAAAACTATAAAATCAAAACTTCCCCAGAGAACGGTCAACCACATCCTTTTCATCCCACCCAGCTTCTGTGTCTGCCAAACGTTTTCAACTGATGCCTTGTTTGGCATGTAAATACTTGGAAACGCTTTTCCCAAGTAGCCTAGGAGATTCCGAAGTGGTCCGTATTTTAATATCTCTCTTTTGAACTTTGCCGGAACAGCTCTCCATGTTACACCACGCATGTGAGCCAACTCATCCTGAAACAACGTCCCAAGACACACTACAAACTTCAGATCCGAAAATGTTCATCTCACACATCCCTGTTTTCCACGCATGTGTGCCAACCATGAATCAACGTTCCAAAGATACACCACAAAATCTCAGACCCCACGATTTTCATCTCACACACATCCCTCTTTTGAACTTTGCCGGAGCAGCTCTCCATATTACACCACGCATGTGTGCCAACCCATCCTGAACCAACGTCACAAGACACACTGCAAACTTCAATCCGAAAATGTTCATCTCACACATCCCTGTTTTGAACTTTGCCGGAACAACTCGGAACAGATGACACCACGCATGTGTGCCAACCCTGAACCAACGTTCCAAAGATACACCACAAAATCTCAGACCCTAAGATTTTCATCTCACACATCTTTTTTTAACTTTGCCGGAGCAGCTCTCCATATTACACCACGCATGTGTGCCAACCCATCCTGAACCAACGTCCCAAGACACACTGCAAACTTCAATCCGAAAATGTTCATCTCACACATCCCTGTTTTGAACTTTGCCGGAACAACCCGGAACAGATTACACCACGCATGTGTGCCAACCCATCCTGAACCAACGTCACAAGACACACCACAAAACCTCAGACCCCAAGATTTTCATCTCACACATCCCTCTTTTGAACTTTGCCGGAGCAGCTCTCCATATTACACCACGCATGTGTGCCAACCCTGAATCAACGTTCCAAAGATACACCACAAAACCTCAGACCCCAAGATTTTCATCTCACACACATCACTCTTTTGAACTTTGCCGGAGCAGCTCTCCATATTACACCACGCATGTGTGCCAACCCATCCTGAACCAACGTCCCAAGACACACTACGAACTTCAAATCCGATTTTTTTCATCTCACACATCCCTGTTTTGAACTTTGCCGGAACAGCTTGCCATGTTACACCACGCATGTGAGCCAACCCATCACGTACCATCGTCCCGAGATACAACACGAATGGCAAATGACTCAATTTTGCAAACCCATCCTCATCCAACCTCCCAAGATACACCTCTCAAAATTTCAAGGTTCACCGTATAGGCGGCAAAAAATTTGCAAACCCATCCTCATCCAACCTCCCAAGATACACCTCTCAAAATTTCAAGGTTCATCGTACAGGCGGCAAAAATGTCGAGCCTTGCAAGAAGACACGGTCGAATGAAAACCTGTGTGCAACCTTCAGGCCAAAAATTGTTCTCAGTAAGCTTCAGTGGTTTAAACTACCTGCGCCCAACCTATTGCAAAAATGCTCTCAAGAGGTGTTCCCTCGGATGAAATCCTTTGGCTTCATGGTTTATTTGAAAACAAAATGAATAATTTAGGTAAACCCAAAGGGCTTCGTCTATAGGAACCAGATCTGAGGCTAAGAGCCTTACATAAACCAAAGACGTAAAGAACCAACATAAAACAACGTAAACGCAACATAAAAGCAAACACAAGTGAATCATAAACACATCGGAAACTCATCATAAACAGAACGCAAGTGAATCCACAATAAAACATAAAACGACTCATCAACAAAACACAAATGAATCCACAAACCATTCTGGCAGTCATGTGTCCCAACTGTCGCGCACGTGTTTCCATCTTCTCTGGAGGTGAGCGGAGTTATGTGACACAATGTTTGCTCTGTGTTTCACTTGTGTTTGAAATACGTTTTGTTTGCGCAGCACTTGCGTCAGGCAAAAGTCTAAGATCTTATTCTGGGAAAATAAGATCTTAGGATTTTGACATACATAAAAAAATACAAGCGAAACACAAACAAAACATAAACAAAACACAAATGTAGCATAATTTTGTTTATGTTTTTTTTGTGTTCTGTTTATGTTTTGGTTTATGTTTTGTTTGTGTTTTTTGTGTCAATTATTTGCGTAAGGCCTTATTTTTTTATGTTTTTTTGTGTTTTTTTGTGCAATTAAGCATAAAGAAACACAAAAAACACATACAAAAATAAGGCCATACGCAAATCATCGACAAAAAAACAAATCAAACATAAACAAAAAATAAACCAAGACAGAAACAAAACACAAAAAAACATAAACACGTTTATGCTACATTTGTGTTTTGTTTATGTTTTGTTTGTGTTTCGCTTGTGTTTTTTTTATGTATGTCAAAATCCTAAGATCTTATTTTCCCAGAATAAGATCTTAGACTTTTGCCTGACGCAAGTGCTGTGCAAACAAAACGTATGTCAGACATATGTGAAACATGTGGGAGACATCAGTTTCACATTGGCTGCAGGTTTGTACCAGGTTTGGATTTCAAATTGGCAACTGCTTGACACAGGGGGGACGGCCAACTCATGTTTCACATATGTTGCAAATTTCACACACATGTTTTGCTTTATGTGTCACTTATGTTTCAATTATATTCCATTTATGTTTCGTTTGCGTTCAACATATGTTTCGTTTATGTTTCACATATGTTTTTACTTACGCCTAGACATAGTTTATGTTTACGTCATGCCCCGTCCACCCTCTATAGAAACCATCCCTGGAGCCCCTTTGGATCAAGCTAATGAATAATTCTAAAATATGTAACTAGACGACGGTTGGCCCGAGAGCGAAAAACACGTTTTTCAAGCAGCTCTGAGGATGGTAGTCGTAAAAGATAGTTGGTGAATAGTTGGTGAATTTTATATGAGCTATGGCAGGATATGGCGTGAAAAAGGTAAGATTGATCAAGAAGAGAATATTTGGTAAAGGGCATCAGATGACATGTGTCTTGCAACCACAGAGAGAAAGATGGGGGAGAGAGAGAGAGAGAGAGAGAAAGAGAGAGAGAGAGAGAGAATGAAAGGGGGGGGTAGAAAGAAAACATGGAGAAATGTAATGTGAGCAACAAAGCCATGGAAAATAACATGGTGATTTACAAAATGGCTATGTTAAATAACCAGATGGTATATATTTTTCCTGGGTATTGAGCCATCCTTCCATTTGCTTTTGTTTGGTGTGAACCGAACAGTTTTTTGAGGCAAGCTTGACCCCATGATCAACATGTAAAAGTCGCGCACCAATCACAAGAACATTGTGAAGAGTTCTGATGGGAAAACACATTTTTTAAAAAACTGCCAGCCTTCGGCATTTTCCACGGGAAAACCGATAATTCATT